TTTTTTATATCATGTAAACGCACAAGCCACACTAGTTACTTATCAGATAGTGCTTACATTGAGCAAAACAAGTTTATTTATAATACTTTTAATCATTTAATTACGAAAATAAAGTACAATGACAACAACCCTTGCTATAATACGTAGAATCTTACATAGATTATGTTATACTAATAAAATTTATCAGTAATTCACTTTCTAGATATACAATTTAGTCTTTACAAAAAACTTTTCTCTGATAATTTAAGTGTTTTTTTTTAAATAATTATGTTCGTCTACTTCTATTGACTTTAAATGCACAAGCACTAGTGCAGGCGATGAGGTCTCCCCCACCCTCGCTCAGCTTCCTCTCTCACGAAAGCAATTGATTTAAAGAGTTATAGATTAAAAAAAATTTCAGTTACAAATCATACATCAACAACAGTTAACTTTTATAACTTGTAAGTGATGTTTTCATATTTATAACTATCATTTCGTTATTTACAACTTATTTTCCAGTGTTTTGAATCAACACTGATAGGAATCACGAAGGCAATTTTGTCCAGTATCATTCACGAGGTTCAACATTCATAAGGCGTATATGGAGAGAGATAAATAAAAGAATCTTTTTGCTTCATGTTTCACGGCCAATTTGGAATTTGGAATTCTATGTTTTATGTATCCTCACCTGTCTTTTCAATTCGAACTCCTTAATTGCAACCCCAGCCTCTTTAGTGTATAGATAAGTAATAGTTCTTGACTGTGTATTTTAAAGCTTATTTGGCTTCTTCTTAACTCGATCGAGGATCCAAATTAACTCCTCACAAGGCTTCTCTATGACTTCACGGGCTTCCAATTCCTCTTAATGCATCATGTAACACGGGTTTTGATTTTGAACTCCTACAAGAAGCTTCTTGATCTCTATCGAATCTCGTATAAAGTATGAAGTCAGAAGTAATCCTAACACGAGTGTAGTCAAAATGATCCCTATAAAGGTGTGCACCAGTACACAAAAACACTTTATAGAGGAACCGTTTCTTCTCTGTTACCGTTGGCGTTGCGTGCAGCATATGGACGCCGCAAGGTGACACATCGGTTCTAAATAATTTCAATCTCTGTTAAAGGCAAGATATAATAAGAATCCTAGGCACGTTACTCAACTTCGCGCTTCAATCAATTTATAGTGTATGCATTAATGCGGTTAGGCTAAGCGTGAAAATAAGTTGAAATGAGCGAGCAACAAGTATGATGTCATATCACTCACTTGGCTTATTCCAACTTTTTGCCAAGATGTTCTTAATCTAAATATCTTTTTGGCATGCTTTACAGCACAAGGATGTTGTTCATCTTTTAATCTTTCATGGAAAATGTAGCCATCGGCCATAATGTTACTTTGCTTAGCAAGTTGGGTTTGCTAATTAGTGCAAAGTTCGTGAAAAACTATCTTGTTGTTTGTTCCTTGAAGTAGAAGGAAAACAAAATGCATCATGTGAATGAAACAAGAGGATTTCAAGGCAACCAACAGAAAGCCTTTTCATCAGCAAACATGCAAGAATTGACATTTATCATGTCGGCTCTTCGTGTAATTGTCAACGTAATGAAAACTATAATGATAAAATGGGGAAGCCAACAAGAAAAAGAGAAGTCCCACACAATCACTGCACACTCATCTGATTGCTTGATAAAGATAATTCATGTTTAAGCAGAAGCATAGTACTGTGGCAAATAACATTTTTCTGGACAAAAAGGGATGGTTAAGCCTGATAGAAAGCACAGACAACAGAGGAAATTAAACTAACTGTTAATTATAATCAAACATTAGTAAGATTTTCGGTAGACATGCTTTTTAACCTGTCATTTTAAACTCGTACTACCATATAAGAAAGTAACATTTTTCCCCCCTTCAAAACATGGGACGATCCCACTATGCGTGTTCCATTCATGAGGATTGTTTCTAGTGGACAGGGGAATTATTCATGATAGGGACTAAAGAGGGCACTGAGTTGAACATGTCAATGCTCATCATGCTGGCATTTGATTATTTTGCATATATGGGAAATGAAGCATGAGAGTGATTGAAAGGATGGCCCACCTTGAAGATTTTCTGGTGCAGTGCATTATAAGCAACAGGTAATATATGCTGCATTATGCGTTGTGTGCTGCCCTAATCCTTTCAATCAGCCATTTAAATTGATTATAATTTGCTCTGGGACCGTCTCTGCAGATCAAAAGCTTTTTATTTCCTATCATGTTATCTTAGCCCTTCTATCACACCACCCTTATTTCAATGCTTTTGACATCCATCTTTTTCTCATTTGTTTTCGTCAGAATATAAATATAAAATAAAAGAAAATATAGATTCTGAGCTCTACAAACTAAATAACAGTAACGGATACTTTCTCAGAATTTAGACTATTAAAGTCTAAATCAGGATGGCATAACAGATGCACTCGCAAAGAGAAAAGCAAAGAGAGCTGGCAAGAAATAACCAAGAGAAGTACCTCACAAGGAAGCATCTCCTATTTATGCGTTAGAGTGATGATATGTTAGGAAGGCACAATCTTCTATATTTTAAGAAACTTTACTTTCACATATTTTAAATGTTAAGGGAATATTTCTTTCTTTCCTCTAAATTTACAATCTTACAATAAATGTCCGACAATAAATTAAATTCTAATTTAATTTATATATTTTAATTAAGCGGAAATCCTAATTAAAATGACCCATCCCATCAAGGAGACGCCAAGTACAACAGTCATGCACTTAATCACTTTATCTTACATATTGTATAAATTTTAAAAATGAGCTGTATCATTGATTATTTGAAAAAATTGAGTTTCCATACATGCATGAATTTTGATCTCACACACATTTAATTTAAGCCTTTTTTCCCCCTTTATACATGTTTTGCGATTTCCCCATTTATTTTTCAACTTTTATTATATTTAGTCTCTTGTTAATCCGTGTCTTCACTCACCTTTCGATTCACTCATGTTTAATTTCGGCTAATTTATTGTAATGTTGATTATAATTGTTTTCGGTTGAATTGCCAATACAAAGCGCTTTCTCTCTCTTTCTTTTGGACGCATGATGTATCAGAGCACCGCCAATATTATCTTTGATCATATGGTGTTTAAGTGTGTTTTACTTGCTATTTTCTTTTTGTGATTTCTTTCTTGATTCCTTTTTAGAAGCAAGATAGAATAACCCCTCTATAAATACAAACGGGGAAAGTAAGAGAAAGGGCAAAATATACACTGAACAGGAATTGAACGGTGACATTTAATTTGGTTTTATTTTTATATGATATAGTGATGATTATTGTCAGGATTGTTCTATTCTTTGCAACATCCTATTATATATCATCAACTTCTTGTTTCACATCTAAACCCGGTAGATAAAGAGTTTGGTTTTTTGCTTAACATATCGGGTGTTAGGAAAGTTCACAGGAATTAAAACAAATCTCATAAAAAAAATTCACAGAAGTAACTACTACTTGAATGATAAGCATGTTATCACCATGCTTCCTAATATAGAAACTAGTTGAAAAGTTAAATTTTATATTAAATATAAACTCCCAAGCCATTTAATATTTAATATTTATTATTTTTTTAAAACTAATTTCCTATATATAATCTTAAATGACACAATTATTTTCAAGAAATGGAGTGACATTTGTTATAATCATTTTATTTGTTTAGCCCTTTTTTTAAAATATTTTTAAATTAATTAAATAGCCTTTATATTCCTTCTAGTCCTATTCATAAACTTCAAATTTAGAAAAAGATATGGTCCATTTTATTAAATTTTAATTTATGTTTGTCTTAACATTTAATGTATTTTTTAATATTACCCTTAATTATTTCTCTCTTTATCATATTTTTACACATATTCTCTTTCATAATTTTTTTCACTTATTATAAGTACATATTTTAAAATAAAAGTATATTTTTAATCTATTTATTATTTTTAACTAATTATCTGTTATCCGTGAATTGGTTATTTGAAACTTATAATAAAAACTGAAAAGAGTATTAAGGATGAAATGGAATATTCCTTCATGTTCAAAACATAAGATAACTTTTGTTGAACTTTGTTGGAATGACTTGGTTTTTTTTATAAGATAATATTTACTTTTGTCTAAACATTTAATGAGTTTTTATTTTATTTTATCCCGATATATTCACTTTTATCTTTAATTTATTTATTGCATGTTTTGCCTATTCGATATTTTTTTTTAAAAATACATGTTTTATATATTTATTATTTTAAATTAATTTTAACTAATTTCTTGATAAACGTAAATAAATAAAATTTATCTTATATTTTGAATTGAAAGAAATATTCCGGTAAAAAAAAGAAAAGAATTGAAGGATATATTTTCTAACAATTTTTATGTATCAGCATTTGGCAATGAAATTCAAATCTGCATCTTTAAAACACAACAATAGTCATTTTTTGAGTAGCTGTAAAAAGGCGTGACGTTGGGTAAACCACTTTTACGTGCCGACATGATCTCTCATATTGTATATACTTTTGTGGCATCTTTAACTCATGGCCCTGGGATTGCTCATAGGGCCACTTGACGCTTCGATCTTCAATGGATTCTCGACCTTTCATGGAACCAGTATTTAGCACGCAAGACCATATCTCAACTCCAACCGCTAAAATACAGCCAAGTAGTTCGATAAATGCACAAGCCAGGGGATACCGCCGACATCTATAACTGAATTAGGTAAGATTTCCTTATTATTCGGTGCCCACAGCCGCCAGCTTTTTGATGCCTCTATGACTCACATGTCCCGTTTTATTCGCGTGATAATGTAATTGTCATCGACCACACACAAACAGAGAATACCCAGAAACCCCACGACCCCTGAAAATAGAGCAGGTTGGGGGGGAAAGAGCTTCTTGATTTTCATTTTCACGGAGATTTCATCTTTCACTCCAAATAATCATGAAGTGACTCCCTCTTCTACTTGTCACTCTGCGGACTGGAACCATAAGTTTGCAACAGAGAATGTAATAAGTTGGTTTTCCCATTAATTATACACAGTACTATCCTTTCCAAATCAAAGATGGAAACCAAAGAAAATACACTGGTCTATATATAGAACATTATGTCACAGATTGCCAACCATTTTTAATCCACCAACATTCTACATTCTTAATTAGCATAAAGAAATGACATTCAAAGCCCACCTCCAGGTGATGTATAGAACAGTCAGGGCTCGTCTAGTTGGTCCTGCAGGAACCCAAATATAGTTTTTACTCACGTCGGAACAAATGAGAGATGGAACAAACGAGGAAGATGCAGCGCGTTCTTTACTAGGGTCACTTACCTGAACATCTGAAGTCCAAAGAGTGAGGTTGTCCCTTAAAAGTTGCATAATAAGTGTGCTGTCTTTGTAGGATTCTTCTCCCAAGGTATCCAGCTCAGCAATTGCTTCCTCAAACGCCTTTCAAAAGACAAAATCTATTAGCGAACTTAGTGAATAGTGATAAACAAGAGTGTTGGCACACCTAAAAGGAAAAAAAAAAAAAAGTGTTCCGTCTGTTTTGCTGCATCCCTCGTTCAAGCAAAAGCAAACTTAACTGGAAGTAAATATTACTTGTTAAGAGACGAACAAGGACAGGTAAGTGAATATGATAATTGACAGCAAGAAAATAATTCCAGGCTTCAATAAATGAAAGTGGAAAGCATTACTGAATTGACCCAAGGCCTAAAGAAAAATTTCCCTCTCTCTTAAAATAATTCAAAGGGCAAGCTTAGCAGGCTGCATGAGCAGAAATTTACAGGGCAACTGACAATCAGTTTAATGGAGCATGTTGGCATAATTCTTGCTGAGCATAGCAATAGCACTATGCGCCATAAAACTAGAAGCAGTCAAACGTGCAAGTTCAATTGCCAAATAAGTAAACCACAGAACGCGAAGTTCACATAAGCCACCTACTGTATTTAGGTACAGCCGTACAAAGCTAAGAAATATGGTTTATCCGACAACATATATTTGGTTTCTGGTCACTATAGCTTCACCATATTTAGAGAAAACATTATAAAGGATTCCAAAAAATAGCTATTGACAGCCATTGTATCAATCTTCTAACAAAACACCATGTTAATCCACGTCAAAGAAATGCGGCTCGTTAGTCAACCGTGACTCTAAAGCCAGACAAGGTATATTATCAGTCCTTAGATCTTACTGGAAGAAGCTGCTAAAGCTTTAATCCGGTCAGAGGTGAGCCCTCTAGGTTTTTACATTGGACATCTATGGCATTTATTTTAGTTAAGTGGCAGTGCCTCCAAAATCCAAACCCATTACGAAATACTTTCCTTACATCAAGAAAGAGATGCCCCCACAAAAGTTTGTCTACAAGTCCTAGAGAGGTGCTTTCCCCAGCTAAGGAAGGATGCATCTTGTTAAGCTTGCTACAAAGTGGGTGCCTGCTCTAAGCTAGCTATAATTAATAGTGGATGCCTCCTGTTAAGCTAACTGCTGCTAGCAGGGAGTGCTTCCTATTAAGAGGGACACTTAGTTCAAGCACTGCCCTCAATTGAAAGGAGCACATTAGATTAGAGAAAATGTGCTCCCTCTCCTCACAAACGATTAGCAAAATCATTCCTGCAACAGTAAGGCTGACTACAATTTAACATCACACAAGAAAATAACATGAAATGAGGCATACCTGTTTGGCCATACCACATGCCTTGTCAGACTGATTGAGAATTTCGTAGTAGAATACGGAGAAGTTGAGTGCAAGGCCCAATCTTATCGGGTGAGTAGGAGGGAGATCTGCAAAAGCAATGTCCTTGACAACACAAAATACCGCAAAGCACGATATCAGAAAACTCGACTCCAACTGGATTTGGAATAGACAGGAAATATAGACAAAAAATTCCATTTGAAATCAAATTAAGAAATACTGCTAGCAAATTTGATATCCAGTAACTTCGAAGTGGTACGAAGAATTCCAAAGGCAAGGTAAAAAATATCGGAAACCAGTTAAACTCACTAATCAAGATTAAATTACAAATTTAAAGCATAATTTCTAGTGGCAACAAAGTAAGTAGGAGGTGACATGGTTAATTGCGAGTTCAACCCCCGAAATCAAGTTCTATGAAGCCGTTAAGAATGCTCTTGACCTCAGAACCTTGAGATGTGAAATATTATAGAGAGTAAGGGAAGTTACCTGAGCAGCCTTGTAAGACACCATAGTATCCTCAGCAGCAGCCTTCCGTTCATCTCCAATCTTAAACTCGGCCAAATACCTATGATAATCCCCTTTCATTTTTAAGTAAAAGACCTTCGACTCGCTGGATGAAGTAGACGGAATTAGATTCGAATCCAACAGCTTCAAAATACTAGCACAGACTTCCGTCAGCTCGGATTCGACCCTGGATCTGTAGTCCTTCACTAAAACAACGTGCTCATCGTTTTTGCGACCCTCCTCCTTCTGCTCAATGGAGGAGACAATCCGCCAGGCCGCACGGAGTGAGCCGATGACATTTTTGTAAGCTACGGAAAGGAGATTCCTCTCTTCAACGGTGAGCTCGGAGGCTGGAGTAGAGCCAAGAACGAGCTTCTGCATGAATTGAACCATCTCCTCGTACCTCTCGGCCTGCTCGGCAAGCTTGGCCAGATACACGTACTGATCTCTAGTTAGGTTTTCCGGGACCGCAGGCGCCATTTTCACAAGCAGACCCACAGCAGCGACAGAGGGAGGAGAAAAAAGAGGAGGCGGAAAACAGATCAGGAGATAGGAGAGAGAAGGAGCTTGGAATGGGAGACGTTATATAGGAAGGAATAAGAATCTCTGAGGTGTGATTTGTGTGACTCGGTGAGCTGGCGGCCGTAGATTATGATGATGACGACAGGCACAACTAGGACGCCTTCCGCCATCGCTAAGGTCGATTGACCCATTCTTTTTTCTCGTTCGTGAAAAATGCTGGTATTATATTTTAGTCTTTTGTAGAATTGTAGGAGTCGGATTTGAACTTTTTGTATATCATTCAGACCCCACTCTCACATTATGAGGACGACTTGTATTTTTTCATGATTAATTATTGACTCTGTTAAATTCCCAGTTTATTTTGGGTAGAATTGCGGTCACAAGTTGTATTAAAAGAAAATTACAGTCACAGGTTTCGTTAAAGATTTAGGGGGAAACCTCAAATTTAATTTAGCTCTCAAGTTCAAGTTATCTACTTCGGGTCCGTTTGGATCAACAATTGAAAAAGTAGTTTATGAAGAAATGAGATTGGATAAAAGCTAAATTAAATAAGCTGAATTGTGTTTCAATTAGAGTTTAGAAAAGCTAGTTTGTAAAAGTGAGATTGGTAAAAAGTTGTTTGAATTATGGTTAGGTAAAAGTAAGTTTGGTTGTAAAATGACCAAAATAGGTATGAGTTTTATAAAAAATGATTTCACATAATACAATGAAATTAAAATAATTTAATATGAAAAAGTCAGATTTAATGAGTGAATTAAATTTTAAAATTTTAGAAAAATCATAAAAATATTTTAAATATAAAGTGAAAGATCAAAAAAATAAATTGACATAGTATAATGAAGAAGTAAAATTTATAGAATGAATTAAAACTGAAAAATTTAGAGAAATCATAGGAAATATTTTAAATATAAAATGAACCATGATAAAAAAAATGAATTGACATAATATAATGAATTTAAATTGATTTAATATGGAGAAGTGAAATTGATTGAGTGAATTAAATTTGAAAATATGAGAGAAATGAAAAAAGGATAAGATATATTATAAATAAAATATAATGCACACAAATGTTAACAAGAACTTAAAAAAAAAAAACTTATTAATCCTAAATCTAAAAGAGTAATAAAGGATGTAATTCTAAGATCAAAGGAAACAAAATTCTTGAGCAAATACTGAATATTTTAGAGCACCTCATGGCATTTTTCCGTTTGCAGGGAAGATATTTCATTTTCATTTTAGATATAGTTAAATGTAGGTTACATATATCTGAAAAATTATACTTATATTTCTAAAGAAATTGAAATACTTTTTTGTTAAGACATATTTTAATGGGAGATTCTTTGATAATTTTTTCCTAAAATAATTTGAATTATTTGGAAATAAATAGACATGAGAAGCAATTAAAAATGGTACAACAATATATCTAGCAAAAAACAACATAGGTATAGGAAGTGAGGCACAATAATACGGCCGATATATTCAGACTTCTGGATGAAATAGAAAGACATTAAAATTGGATTAGCTGAAGGACATTGGGAAGCAATTCGCTGTCGTGGAGAGCTCTGAGACGGAAAAAAAATGAAGAGGTGAAATGAGGAAATAGCCAAAGTTAGAGAAAAACAAAGTCATCTGACACATCACAACAGTAAATAAACTCCAATTGCTAATCCAATAAGCCAGAAAATGTAGCTTCTTTCACAACGTATGGCTGACAGCTTAAAATAGATAAGCTCATCTTGGATTTAAGCCTAACCAAACACTAAACAATTCTTCAATCAAGCTTATAGTAAAAATAATCTACTTTTCAGCCCATAAAAACCCCGCCAAACAGGCTCTTCAGCATTTTGAATTTGTTTGACGAGGAAAGAACTCGGCAGAATTGCTTTCCTTTCAATCGGAAAAGAAAGAGAAGAATACCCAGCAGTCCAGCACATTGGGCTTAAGAAGACATCAAGAGGGCCAGGCTTGTCAGCTTTCACGCCCACTTATCTGGGCTTGCCACACCCACCCACGGCCACCTCTTCCGATTCTTAGAGTTATGATTTATCTTATCCTCTAACTCTGGTAAAAAAAAATCTTATCCTCTAGCTAATGGAGTTGGTGTAGGGTTAGTTATGACAAACTAATATTTGAATTTTTACTAAAAGATATATTCATATTTAGTATATAATTATATCTCAAACAGATTGTTTATAATAGGAAGATACTTATACATAAAAATAAAAAAAAATCCTCTACATGTCCCAGGCCGATGGCTATTTGCTGAGCCGTTAGCATCAGGGCGAATATTGTCACTACAAGGTGGTTGCCTTTTCATCTCTGGAACTGTAGAAATATTGAAAATCTTGTGCTTTGAATCTCCCTTCCTCTCCATCATGTGATAAAGACATGCATGCAGTAACTACAGTGCTTGAGCCCTGGCACTGGTGCCTTCTATCAAACATTTGCGCCTTTTCTTCCATACCAGCCACTATTTGAAGCTAAATGTTTTAACTCGTGGCACTTGCTAAACCTTGCGTTGCCAGTTCCTTATACATGTTCACTTTTAGCCAGACCTGCAGATCAGCCGCTCTGTTCTTTGCATAGAAATAATAAAGCGAGTGCTTCCCCTGATGACTCTCTCTCACAGTCTCACATGTTAGGCGTCAGTTCGAATTTCCTGAATGACAGAGTCTTTGGCAATACAGAAAGAAATTCGAAGAACTCTCTTTCCATATATTACATTGTGATCTGAGGGAACTGAAGCATTGTGATTGCCAATTTAAAATCATGTTAACGAAATAGATACCGCCCACGCTAATATACAATGCATATTTTAAATTCACTATAATTTAGTGCATCCGGTCCTAATATAAAAGCAGTAGTTGATAAATTTGAGAAATTAGAAAATATGTTCAGTTAGTTATTTGTAATAAAAAATGTTGTCTTTCATAAAATATCCTTACTAATCAAGTGTATTAGTTTAGAAAACTATTATTAGAAAAACTGCCTTAAAAAATATATAAATATAAGAAATAAAATGGATTGAGATTTTATATTGAATACCAAAATAAAAATTAAATAATATTTTATATAAGGATATGATGGGTAGCAGTTTTTTAAAAAATTATATTTCATCGTTTGACGCAAGACCTAGTTGTTCACTTTGTTCAGAGAAAGCACGGTCCGTCGAGAGCAAAATCCGTGACTCCTGTAGTAGGT